TCTTAAAGAATCATTTCATCTGCAAAACTCAAATCGTTAAACAATAACTTAAACTAATATTCGACTAAATAAACTGGCAGGTGAAAATATATTATATGTAAGAAATATATGGTTGAATGCATCCAAGAAAATCAGCATTCCTTTTGGGTTTTTTGACTAGGGATGAAGAGAAATATGGAATAATCGAGGGGGGGGGAAATGCCGGAACTCGGTGCGATTTTAGTACCGGACTGCCTTTTTCGAGATCCAAATTAGCTCCTACACCGGAGCAGGGTCTAACCAGCACAACTGGTACTAATCGTGACGCAAGTAGACATTGATTGGTCAAACGAGTATGAAAACGCCCTCACCCGCCATGATTTAAAACGCTGCGTAAACATACTGCCATCCTCCTGTTGTTAATGTTGTTTTTCTTTGTTTCTGTTGTTGAACTCCGCGCACAAATGACGTCGCTGTCAACCGACTTACGTCTCTTCTTAGTACACACTGTCGATTGGTGCAAAAGGGCCAGTTTTTTTTTTTTTTTTATGATGTACATATGCGTTCTGTGGACGTCTCTAGCAGTTGCGTGGCTTTGGTGTTTTTGCATGTCAATACATAGGTTACATTAAGCTGAAGAATTTATGAACAAAGCGTCCTGCAGTGTTGGGGAAAGTTACTTTTAAAAGTAAGTTACTTATTTTAAAAAGTAACTCAGATATTCTCTTGTAAATGAAAAAGTAATGCGTTACTTTACTAGTTACTTGAAAAAAGTAATCTGATTACGTAACTCGCGTTACTTGTAATGAGTTTCCCCCAACACTGGCGTCCTGTCACCATTACGCGATACGTAACGTTACCTGTTCTTTGTCGTCATTTCTCATAAGATCGAGCTTCTTCCTCGCAGTCTTGTGAACCGTGCGCTCCTCTGGTGAAGTTCTGCAGCTCAGACTCGCATTGACCCTCATTCGCTTCTTGGCGCTGCTGTGCTGCTCAGTTGTGGACGGGAACAGCACCGAACACACATCAAACTCCGCCGAGGTCCGTTTAGGAGTTCGGGGACTCGCCGTTAAGCCCTCGTTACTTACATCTCGCAAGTCAGTCGCGGTATCCGCTGCTTCGGCCGATAAAGCCTCATCGATAACTTTGAGGAACTCCTGCTGGATATGTTTTTGCGGCTCTGGTGTGGTGGGATCGCGCGTCGTTTTACGTGAAGAGCGTGCAGCTCTGGACGACGTCTTTGGTTTAGTGATCACCGCTGACTCCTCAACGTCTATTGACACTTTTTGTCCCTTGGACCGTAAAGACCGAGCAACGCCACCCTTCTTACTCTGTGCAAAATAATCGGTAACCCGAGCTTGAGCCATTCTTCGGTATGAATAAAGTCTCTACACTTCTCGATAGCGTGCAGTAGCTAATTGTTGTGATCCCACCGGAACTTCCCTTTCAGGGTCTATCTATACTAACTTTCGCGCGAAATCGTGCCACGTGACTTATGTAGTCAGCGCTTGGCTTTTAACCACGCCCCGCACCCGCTGATCAAACACCAGATTCACATAACTGAATTTATGGGTTTGGTTTTGGCTTTTATTTTTATTTAACATTTTATTTTATTCTATATTTCTAACAAAACAAAAAAACATTTTAATTACATTAAAACATTAAAAACCTTAAAATTGTATGTATTATTCTTCTGTATAGGCTCACTGCTTTTACATGTATTTTACTTTCAGGCTGGAAAATCTTTACCTACTCAACTTTTAAAGCCTGACATGAAATAATAGTCGCTTAAGAAAAAAGTGTTTAAAGACTGAAGAGTTTATTTACCCTTTAGATCAAATATATTTTAAGTATCATTTTTGATTCGTCAGGCTTTTATGACTCATATAGTAGAATATGAAGCTCATATTTAAGGAGGGGAAAAAACACCTCAATTTTATGCAGTTTGGTGCAGTTGCTGATATTTATATGGCCAAAAACAAGATTAAATTCGGACAACTTGCAATGTAAATCAATGAGATATTATAACAGTATTGCTGACTTCTTACATACTATACATATCAGTTATCACTCTATATCTCCCAGTAATGTCTTTGTAAGATGATATTTAAAAACTTAGTTTAGAGCAAACCCATACAAGGGTACATGCAAGCTTAAAACACAGTGTCTTAAATGTCATTAAAAGACATGTTTTGTTCAATAAATATATGTATTGAAAAGGGTTTATGTACCAGTATATCAATGCATACAGTTTAGTTGATCAGGACTTGATTTTACTGACAATAATAACATAATACTGACAATGCAAACATAATAATGAGTTTAAGGAATGGCCAGTGCTACTATATATGTCCCAGTTAGGCCTAGCTGTATGTTATTGTAAAATGGTGACTTGGTGAGATTATGACAGAAATGCCAAAAGCCTATATAAGTAAATTAAAGAAAATATAGCCTATTAATTAAAACAAAAATGTATAATAATAATAAACATTGCTGTCATATTATACAAAACAAGACTGCTCATAGTTATTGAAAGGTTAGAACATTATTTGAAGTACACATTAGCATATTAATTTGGCAGGCACTTATCCAAAGTGACTTACAGTGTATAGATTTTATTAAAGCGCCATGTTCTGCTGTTAGTAATTATTTAGTTGTTAGTAATTAAGGCAGTGGAGAATCATCTGACAAGAATTATGAGGGGGGAAAACAAGGCAAACGAAAACCATAATTCCTTCTGTCGAAAGACACGTTACCCAAAACCACCACTAGATGGAGCCAATATAAAAGACATACAGACAACCGGCGTAAACTATAAGAAAATTAATGATCAGTCAAAAAATAATCAATCTGGGTATTTGGAAGGAATGCGTTGCGAATGGAGAACATCAGCATGTACCCACAGTTTCGCTGCACTGAACTGACACTTAGAATAAACGAAGCAACCAGATTTAAGGCACGTTACACTACTACACATGCTCAGAAACGTAAACAACACATCCTATTGTTTTATTCACACAATATACACACTTGATGTTGTTTCAATGATGTTTTTCATAAGTATAAACACAAGTTATAGCATAAATAATACAGTTTCTTTAAAAATAACCTTTTAATTTTAGTAGCCATTACTATCTTGGCTTATCTAACGTTATCATTATCAAATTAATTCAATAAAGATGGACCTGCTAAACATGCACCACGTGTCTGAAATAACGCAGAAGGTCTGTATAACTGGCTTTCCTCTACGTTGGAAGCTGAAAGGCCATAATTCTGTGGGTGACACATTGTTCGGCTGCTCAGGCAGCGCGCAGCACGAGTCGTATTTCTCAGTTGAAAGTGACGTTACTCGTTTGGCACAAGTTATCTATCGTCAGAGTGGGAGTTACTTTCTACTAACTGCTGGGACGCAGCGCGGACTACATAGACAAACAGAACAAACTCTCTTTATAAGTTTTGTGGCATTGTATAACAGTTTGTGGACATATTCTGGTGAAGCAGATTAGTGCCAGAACGGAAGACTGAAGAAAGTTTAACAAACGCCGAGGCGCTGAATCACATTTTCCATGAAGATATACAATGCATTTTTTTCATTGTAAACCCGCTTTTTGAGTTTTGTATCGAAACGACCAAACGCGACGTCTTAAGAAATTATTCGTTCATTTCTATATATTTTAAGTTCGCTTTACAGAAAACGTTGGCTAATAATTAAATGTTTTAATAGTTTAATCGACATGTTTATTCGTTAAATCGATTAGAAGCGAAATTTTCATTTATATAAATTAGTAAACAAAATCGAGAAACTATATTTTCGCCATGTAGCTTCCCCCCCCCACCCCGATTCTGAGATGGTTGTGTTGTGGATTTGTGTCGTGGGAGGAATGTGAGTGGAAGTGTTGCTCATGGAGCTTCAGGTGGTGTGCGGATTGCTCTACTGCTGCCTGCTGCCCATCTTTTTACTGGCAGGTAAGACCTCAACTTGTATTATACCCACCCCTATACACAATACAGACAAACAAGAATTGTTTTAAAATTAAATCCCTAACAACATTTGCTTTCACTTTTTTATTTATCTTGCCATAACAAATTAGTTAGTCAACAAGATGAAAAAGTAGAAATCTATTTTAAAACGCTAATGCCAAGTTCTTCAAAAGCATTTTGTGTTTCTTTGTATCCACGTTTCATACATGTTAAAACGTTTATACCATTTTACACAAACGAACAACATTATTCAGTGGCTCCAAAAATGTCAAGTGGTGTAACCATGAAACTTTTGAACCATTCCTTACACGCTGAATCCACTTATAAATAAGTTTTGAGTAAAACAATCACAGTTTGGGGCTAAAATGTGTGTATTATATAGTTTTTTTTAGAAGTACAAATATTCCTTGTCTAACATCTGGTTATAAAAACTACACGCATCCTAGATGAAACACACGCACACACACACTCACACACACACACACACACACACACACATATATATATATATATATATATAGAGGACAATTCCAAGGACCCGATGAGGAAGAGGGGGCCCGGAACACGATTTTTAACATCTAATCACGCTTGCACTTGAGGTTCATTGCTTGAATGTGTCCCACTGAGTGCAGTGGGTGATCTCACCTCATTCAGGTGTTTGTTTAGCAGACACGCCCGAGCAGCTCACTTCCTCTGGGCCTGAACTTAAGGATGCATCATGCATTCCTGCTTCCCAGTTTGCAACTCGCATCTGTTTTCTTTCTCAGACCTGTTTTACTGTCTTCTCACACAGTTCTTTTTCTGTGTAATTTGGCTTGCATTCTACCGAGCACAAATACTTTCATGCTTGTGGTGTTTAAGGCTCACCTCCCATGAAGAGTCTAATTATGTGCTTTTCACACTTGAAATTGTTAAACCAAGGTCATAGTTCTTACTGGGTTGCTAATTAATCGTGTAATTTCACACTGCACATGTGTAATCGCTGGGTTAACATTCTTATTTTTAGATTTACAACATTCATAATATTAAATGGAAAAGTCTGGCATGTAACCTGTTTTACTAACTCTCAGCCAACATTTCATGGTACGGCCTATATAGACATGATATGGGCTTGAGGTATGGGCCCTAAAAGGGTTTGTCCATGGGTTCCATGTTGTCCCTGTCTTAATTAGCCCATATGAATCTCATGTAGAGTCTGACTGGGGCTAATTCAAATAGAATATTGGCCCTGCCATGAAATATTAGCTGTTTGTCCTATGTCTGTGTACATAACACTCCAGTAAATGATAAAAATGTATTTAACACGACAACCAATCAAGTAAATTGGTAATCAAGTAAATCCAGTGCTCTCTACAATCTACTTAAGTCTGGAATACACTACAAGACTACTGAATAGATTTGAAAACACTAGGCATCATATGATTTGTAAATAGTTACACAGGAAAATGCAGAAATGTGTTGCTTTGCTTGAAGACGCATGAACAATAAAAAGAATGTGTTTTAAAATTGACTCAAAATATTTTAACTGGTTAATTCGACTGGATGAAATCATAGTTTGAAGCTAAAATATCTGAGTCTGTGCACATCTTACACTATGCAATTTTTGGTGAAATTTGTCAACTCTGACTGCCCAAAAGACTGGCTCTGACTTTCAGCAACAAGCGCCGACTCATCCAGACTGCAAATCAGGGCAAAAATCTGGGCAAAAGTTGCGTAGTGTATTCCAGAATTTAGGCTCACAATGTTTTTGGGAAACGCAGCTGTGATCAGTTCCGAATGGATAAATCGAATTGAATTTCATGGGTTGTGAATGTCTTTTTATGACTCTTTTACTGACTATTTCCCTCATATGCTAAAACGCCACATGCAAGAATATTTATTTAGGTAAGCATCATTTACTTCAGAATTGGATTTCTTGCTAAACAGTTTGCTAAACAACCCTTAACATGCTGTATATGTTTAGTATCATATTTTGTTGTTAGTACTTCAGGACTTTTTAATCCAGAGTTAAATCTGTGCTAAAAACATGAAATCTTGACATCAACATTAGCACAGGGTTAAGTGTAGTGTGAAAAGCCTCTGTTTGCTGTCGGGCCAGACAGGTTTCTATATTTAACATTTCTCCCCTGACTGTAAAAAAAAAAAAAAAAGCAGGAGAAATGTATAGGCTGAAATCCTGCCATGTTTCATAAACAGAACATATAAAACTATCCCAGGCAGATAAAGATTAGCCAGAGGCACAGTCTGTTGACAGACTATTGTTTGAACATGTTGTTTCTCGTGTCATGTGGGACTCATGTGGCACACAGGAAGAATCGCAACGTGCATCGAACGTCTCGGGTTCTCCTCAGACTCACGCATGCGGTCAACCAGATTTGTTGAGCTTTCCACATGGTTTTCAGTGGCAACCGTTTAACTTTTCACACCTGCATGAAAAAAATCACCTTTTATTTCAATCCTAGAAAGATTTAGGTATATTTCTTTCTTCAGAATCAGAATGGCTCTATTGCATGTTTTTCAACTGCAAAGTAGGGCAACCACACAACCTGGGTGTGTTAGCAGCATGCGCTATCACGCTAACCAGTATGCTGTCACAATACAAAGCCTCAATGTGCCCATAAGGAAACGGCCATGCCTGAAGTTAGCCTGAGGCTGGAAAGTGTGCATCATTGAAAGAATTAAAGAGTCCTGAGATGGCTCAGGCCTTCCAGCATGCCTCTCACTTTGGACCTTTCATACCCACTCAGGAGATCTGTGCTGTTTTACTGCTAGATCTAAAGGTGAGAAAGACAACCAAAATAAATTAAAATCCTTATTCATGTAGTGTGGTTTCAGTCTAGGGGTACTTCAGGCCTGGGGAAAATATCAAATACTTTATACTTAAGGTACTTCCGTATATATGTCCACTAGTCTGGGTTGACATCAGAACAAGGATAAGCTTATCAAAATGTCATGTAATTCTCAGCTTGAAAGGTGAAAAACACTAGATGTTAGATAATCGTAAAGTACGGTCAGTGATGTCTGAGGTTTGCTAATTGTTTTTGCTGGATTCAGAGCTTGGGGAAAAAATACAATATTTCATTTTTCAAACGCATTAGTCCTTTTATTGTGACTAGGCTGTGTTTTGGGACAGCCTGTATGATGACTTTCATCACTGAGTATAGAAAACAGTCACAGACAACCACACTGTCGTACATTTTGCACCCCTAAAGCTGTAGAGCCCATTTGCATTCTGGGCAGTATTGAGTGGGTTCCTTCCGTTCCGCTTTACACCTACTGTTATGCTGCCTTAAAGTTTTCCTGGGAAGTTCCTACATGGGAAAAATGATAGAAATCAAAATTATGTTGTGATATGAAGTTATTTTGGACTGAATAAAATGAACGCATTGTGCTATTTAATTTCTCTCTTTTTCACTTTCTGACAAACACGGGAAACTTTTTAGTGCTTCTGCAGTAAATGAATGTGCAAAAGATGCACATTAGGTGTAATTGATACTTGGTGTGTTTTACGGGAATACCCACTCAAGGGAAAAATACTCTTGTTGCGCAAGCCTGCCACCTCATAAATCATCTAAATGAGTAATATTTTCTGGCAAGCTTAATCACTCTTCTTCATTAACAGTAAACAAAATGCTTACAAACTAAACTATAATGTCAAAATTCACAATTACAGTTTATCGAGAATACTAATGAGCATCCACCATGAATCTTTAATCAAGACACCCCCGACTCGGGATTTTCTTTGAGCCCCAACTTCCAATGTTTGTCACTGGCAGTTGTGACATGGGTGGCATTCATCTCATTCTGACATGACTCTGACAAGGCAGTAGGTTGTACAGTGCAATAGTAGGTGTAAATTGTGGCTTAGAGTTGTAAATGTTATACCCTGTTGAGTTTAGAGTTAACCAGAAATAACTAGTCCATAAAAAATCTTAACATGTAGCCAATGTGCGGGTGTTTTCTTATTTTCTGTGAAATGATTAATAAGAGGGGTAATTCAGCACACTTTGCTCAAAACCAATCTAAAACCATTGCCACATGAAAAATGTAAGTGCTATTCATCACTTTCAGTCTATCAGCCCTGTGACAAACTTTACCTTACAGAGCTCTGCAGATTTGTGGTTCACCTTCTTTAACAATTCATAGAATATTCATATAGCTTCAGGGAAAGGCATTAAATAGTTCTCTTGTCGCCAAGAAAAGTGCTATTTGTGATCAGACCAGAGGAAGTGCTCTTACTTGATATGTATAGGGAAATACCTAGAAGTGGTGGTGCAATGTGATTCAAGATATTCTTGTCATAACATGTATTGTGTTTGTGTATTTTACATGCACAGTACAGTTCCCTAGAAGAACACAGAGTCTTATATACTATTTGGAGTGTGATTTAGCCTTCATGGGAAAAAAAAAAGGAAAAAAACCTGCCAATCATGTCCAGGTCATTCATATATATATATATATATATATAGTGCTGTGAAAAGGTTTTTGCCCCCTTCCTGTTTTTTTATTTTTTTGCATATTTGTCACACTTAAAAGATTCAGATCATCAAACAAATTTTAACTGTCGCCGGCCAACGAGTTGGTGTTTTTTCAATGTATGCTTCAGACACGGGTCACGACGAGGCGTTCCCCATAGCGGCCCCTAGAGGACGCAGTTCGAAGTTCCCATGAAGGGGAACTAAATTAAGGTTTTGGAGTGGCTAAATCAAAGTCCGGACTTAAATCCGATTGAGATGCTTAAACAGTCCATTCATGCTCAAAAACCCTCCAATGTGGCTGAATTAAAACAATTCTGCAAAGAAGAGTGGGCCAAAATTCCTCCACAGCGATGCGAAAGACTCATTGCCAGTTATCGCAAGCATTTGAGTGCAGTTGTTGCTGCAAAGCGTGGCACAACCAGTTATTAGATTTAGGGGGCAATTACTTTTTCACGTAGGGCCAGGCAGGTTTAGACAGCTTTTTTCCCTTAATAAAATAAATAATCA